TAAATCGCTCCAGAAATCAAGACTTTTATTACACAAAACGATGATTTATCGAACTACTTAAAATATGATTACCAAAAAAAAAAAAATAGTTTTGCTCGTTAAAACGTTTTGTTTTAAAATGTGTATAAGAATTAAATATTTTATTTTTTGTCATTTTATGGCCTTATAACAATTATGCGTATTCAAAAATTTTTCGAGCTTGAGGCCGTTTCTAATTTAAAAATCGTTTTGGAAAAGCAACAACAATCAGCACTTGGTAGAAGTTATAGCAGCTATTTCGGAGATCAGATGAGGCATTGAAATTTTTTAATGCCGACTTAGGATGGAAATATTCATGATTTCATTACTCTCACGAAGTATGCTTTCAAACTAAGAGTGGCAATGAAAAACTTTTTCCGCGACCCAGCCTAATGTCGATACCACTCGCGAGCGAAATGCACACAAAACATACGCTAATGTGGCCAACCGAATGCTTATTTACATTCGTACTAAAAACATTCGCATATTTTAATAAATCCTACACATCTTTGATTTGTTTACGGGGAATGACCCAGTTGAAACTCGTCGTCATTTTTTTTATTCAATTAACTCGCACATATTTTTTGTAACGCTGATGAATGGAATGTAAATGTTTGTATATTTATAGGTTTACTGTAGTTCACATGTACCAAAGAGTGGACCTGGCCATTTGGATCAAACATCAGTGGGTATAAGACAGGCTTTGAATGCGCCACGCACCAACAAATACGTCAATGAGCAAATCCGCGGTACACGCACCGACGTTGACGGTGAGTTCGAATTCTATTTTTTAGAAACATGCATATGTATACACTTAGACACATAGATATGTATGCAAGCCACTGGCAAAATACTAATGCACCTACTCATGCATCCGCTCTTATGAAACGACCCACGTAATTATTCAACAAAAGCGAAAACAAAAGTGTGCAATAACTACGAAGAACAAAATAATAATGGAAAATTAAATACTGCAAAAACAAATATGTATTGAGTTAAAATCTGTATTCATATGGAATAGTAGCTTATGTCGAAAGGCTGGCTTTAGTATAATGCGGCATTCGCAGCATACGCTTGCGAATGACTCACGGCGCCGAGCCGTTGAAGAACTTTTGGCAAATAAATGTGCAAGAAATAGTTCCGATACTAGCATTTTAATATTCTTATTAAGTCTCGTCAAAAAATTCCTTGTCGTTTAAAGGATAAAGGGAATGCCGCATTATACTAAAGCCAGCTTCTCGACATAACCTACAAACACAGAAATATCCTGCGATGTACATACAGTAGACTGCCTCAAACTGTATAAAAAAAATTCCTTTTTTCCTCAAGTCCATCATAAAGTTTTATCTATTTTTTAGTACCACCAAAATATATTGGCTGGATTCCGTAATTGGCCATTTGTAAGCTCTAAAAGTCGCATTATTTATCACAAAAATTAATAACACAAAAATAAAATCCCGTAAAATTACCTAGGAATGTATAAAATTAATTGTAAGCTCCTGAATGACTTATTATTTTTATTTATTTCTCCTTAGGTCCGTTCGCACAGTGGAGAGTTAACTAACATTCGGCAGTCAAATTTAAATTTCTAAAAATGTTAAAAATTAAATTTTTATATAAATCGGAACTATATAAGTCCTAAATTAACGAAAATTTCGTTAAAAATATCAAAAACTCTTAAGCTCATAGCCTAACCAAAACAAAGCACTTATAAGACTGTATATTTCTAACTGCGAGCGCTCAAAGTTTTTAACCGTTCGAAAATTTTTGTACTGACATGTAATCGGCATAATACAAGAATTAAATTTACATCGGTATTTTGTTATTAAAATAATAAATTAGTCTTTCATTTTCTTTATTTCATTTTGACAGTTTATAGCCGGAGGTTTTGATATAATTGTGCACCATCAGTTGTTATAAAAGAAAAAATTTGTATTTTAAATTTTTAGTTTTATCTAAGAAATACATACATAGCACCTCAACATTTAACCAGTTCTGTCCACTTTTCTTTTGCTTTTTTAAGGTTCATTACTTTTATATCAAAGTATAAAATTTCAGAATTTGTACAAAAATTATAAAAATTCCACAAACTTTTCATACCAATTCCAAGCATTTTAATTTTAATTTCTAGAATAATTTTTGGTATGAAGTTTTATAGCTTATTAAATTCTAGTACAATAAAGTGCAAGTTTGAAGTTGCTAAAAAATCGCGTTGATTTTTGACAATTTAATTTTTTTTGCTGACGGTATCACGCATTTTCTTCCATAGAAAATAATTTTTTACATTTAGATTTATGTGGTATTTGTTAGATAAAGAGCTATAAATACTTTTATATAAAAATAATGACGCTTAAAAACCAAAAGAAAGGTAGTCAAAACTGGTAAAAATGTTGATTTGCTATCTTTTGTCGCGGGGTGTGCATACATTTTCAAGGCAAACTATCTAACGCGGAGAAAGTCTCGTCCCTTGCGATTCCGGCTTTACAAGATTTCACTGTACGTGTATACCTATTCACCAAAAATATGTACATATGTTCTAACATGATTAAGCAAGAATTAAACCAAAATCTTCTTCGTTTAAGAACTTCTCATAAAATATTGCTTGTAATATGTTGAGTTGATCGACTTCGACTTCCAAAACGTACCAATGCACTGTTTGGATACTGTTCTACTGCGTTTACAGTTTAAATCTATTTGTAAATGCAGAGTTGCGAAGCATCACAACCATATGCATTGCATATTATAAATACAGTCGATCTCATTTTAACGCGGATTGGTTTTTAACGCGAAGTTTTCTACAATCCTCCGTTGGTTTTTTACGCGGTTTGCGACTCATTCTGATTTTGTCCTTTTGTTTTATTTTTAGTGCGTTTTGCAAATTCTATTTGCATTGCAAGTCTAGGCATTATTTAGACATGTATGTACATACTAAATAATGCAAACCTGCAGCCATGTAAAAGAGACCTCAGCGCTTATTGACAGTTTATTTTAAGAACTGAAGTATGGATTCATTCATTGTTTAATACTTATACTTTTACATAAGTTATAAGTGATCTTAATATGATTTTTTGTTAAACTCCTGTGGAACAGAGGCTATTTTATATGTCTGTATGAAAGCATAGCGAATACATATGTACGTACATATGTATGTAATAAATGTGTGCACTGCCCTAACATTCGAGGTTTTCTAATGCGATTTTTTTTTTGCATGGAGTTTTCGCAAAATAGGAACGAATAAACAAATTGTGGTTAATTTTGCGAGATTTTTTACGGTAAAAATTTTCTGTCCCAATAAACCACGTTAAAATGAAATCGACTGTATTCAATATATCAATGAAATCGCAACCGCATAAACTTTGTTGGTGATGCGTTGATTACTCTAATGATATGTTTCTAAACCTTTTCGGATGCGTTTTAGAAAATTATACACTGTCAACATTTAGTAATTCGGCGTTATGGAGCATTATAATTTGCAGGTATGCTAAGCAATTGACGTTTTGTAAGTCCACGATTGAGAGAATGCAAAGGTTGCGCCGATCTCGGACCGCTATTCCTCTCTTAACGAATTTGACAGAACCGTCGTTTGCATGACGTCACACTGGTGCATCTTGTTTACATTTTCCTTGCAACATTTTTTCTTCTTCTTCCATTCTTGCTCACGTTTTGGCATTTCTCTCTCGCAATTGCACCAGTGTGACGTCACACAAAAGTTATTCTCAAAAATCCTCTCTGATCGGCGCAATCTTGTATTCTATCATTCTTGTTGTAAGTCAGCACATTTCCACTATGAAAGCAAAAGCTTTTCAATGATGCCTCATACATACAAGCCGATTACTCTCATCTCTCGCTTTTATAGAAGTTTATACATATATTTTTTATATAAATACTTGAAGTTGCCAAGTCCATATTTACAATTTTTATATGAGATGAAAAAACTTCTTATAGCCATTTTCTTCAAGTATTTTGCAAAACTCCGAATAACAAATTTTGCGTGATTATGGCAAAGCAAAACTCCATACGAATGATCCTTCGTTATTAATTTAAAGAATTTGTCTTATCGAATTTTGTGTGCCTCTTTTGGACTTAAAAAATTTGCCTTTCATTGAATATACTTAAATGGGAAGAAATAAAAAAGTACCTTAATCCTTTTTGAGATAATGCATTTTTAATTTTGCTTGCTTCCTTTATCAAAATATGAATTTTTACAAAAAGTGGACTTGACAACTTTTTACTCTAAGCATCTATCAAATTTTTTGTTTATGGAATTAATCCATTTGGCAAGTGAAGCTTTCATATAACTCCCTAATACCTTCAATATCGTCCACAATGACGCGTATAGGTGGATTGGGTTCACGTCAATCGACACCAAATGGTTATGGCAGCCGAGATGTCAGCTCTCCGTCACAAAACGATTCCGATTACAAATATGGCAGATTCGATGCGAGCGCACTGCATATTGCGCATGCGCTCAAGCAAACAGAAATACAAAAAGCCTACAATAAGATGAGAGAAAAGCCAATAGATTTCTATTTGGTAAGTAAATCCACAGTTTTTATACACACATGCCTATTTACAAAAATATTGGACACATATCCAGTGGGAATATGTAATGTATATTATTATATTATTTATCACGCATGCAATGCATTACTACTTTTCCGACTGGGTAGTTATACAGACATATATGTATATTTACATAATGACCACATAAATATCAATACGTACATAACTATTTAAGTGTGCGCATAACCAAACGCCAATGCCCAACAAGCACTTCAGTAAATGTTTTTAAAAATAACTTAAAGTAAGTTTGCTATAATAAGCGTTAAAAAAGCGTTTTAATATAAAGCTTATTTTAAGTTTTTTTTTCAAATAAACCTTTAATAAGTGTTGAGAAACGAATGTTTATAAATTATTTAAACTTAAAAATGAAATGCAAATGCCAATGACATGAAGCTATAAATATAACGTTTTTATACCCGAGCGCACTTGTGCACAAGGGTATATTAATTTTGTTCACATAACGGTTGTTTGTAACAGCCAAAACGAATCGAGATAGATATAGACAAATGTATACATAAATGCTCAGAATGAATAGAGAAGTCGATTAAGCTATGTCTGTCAACGAAATTTAGTATGTAGGTTTCCATTAATCCAAGGTAGGTTGGTATTGAAAATGGGCGAAATCGGACTGTAACCACGCCCACTTCCCATATAACGGTAATTTCCAGAAATACGAAAACTGCGATATTTTAGTAACTACTAAAGATAATTCACTTACAGTTGATATTTACCATAATTTTCAGACGAAAAATAAGAATATTATAAATTTTTGAAAAATGGGCATGGCCACGCCCACTTATGGTTACATGTGTATATCTTGGTAACCGCTGCACCAATTTCTTCTAAACTTGGCACAGTTGTTGGCCTTGGTACGGCATACTAAATGGCTGAAAATTTAAAAAATTTGACAATAACCACGCCCACATCCCATATAACGGTAATATAGAGAAATACAAAATCTTCGATAAATCAGTAAATATTAAAGCTAATTTATTCAAAATTGATGCTTGCAACTCGGGTTGCAATCACAACCGCAGTGTTGCTGGAATTATTAAAGTATCAAGTTCTGTGTGAATTTCTAACAATGAATTACCAGTTGGGCAGTTGCAACAATGTTGCCATTTTTCATCAGTACGGCAGTAATGCCGCTTTTATTACGTGCCTCGAACAGGACCTTTCTTACTTTTTTCAATTGTAAGTGACGTGTTTTCGTTCTTTAAAATATATTTTAATTATAATTTTTAAAATAAAAAAATTAAATAAAACCAATGCGGTAAAGATAGGCAGAAATGTTGCGTTTAAACAGTGAAAAAGAGTAAAGAAATTATAAATTTGCTTATGAATAGTGAAGTCCGCGGAGAACAAATTCAATATAACCTTACTTCCAATCCAGTAGCTCGTTTCTGTAACAATTCTCTACCAAGGCGAATTGAGATATAAATTCGCCGCCCTGTTCTCTACTGCTAATGAGTAGTAGAGAATGACGTATATTCTCTACCAGTAGAGAAACAATCGGTAGAGAAGAGTTACAGAAACGGGCTACAGGACCTGCTGCGCTAATCAATGGAACATTCGACCCTTCAAATGATGAGTTCTCCTTATCTGTGCTTACTTTTAAATTCAATTAAATATGTACCAATTTTTTTTCAGAAACCTTCATCTATGAGAATGGCGACCATGAAGCGAAATATGTATGTAGCTCCATCGAAGTCGTTTTTCCAATTTTCCAATAACCGCTTGTAATTGAAAGCTGCTGCACGCAACAAGATATAACAATTAATTTTTGTATGCTTGTTGCTTGTGTGTTATTGTGAATTTGTATGCTAAAATGTTTCTTCCTTATTTATATTTTCGATGAGTCCACAGAAAATTCGCATTTCTTCTAGTTTCTATATCACATTTATTAGAAAATATTTGGATGTTAAGTGCAATCTATGTATGAGTTATTAATGAAACATCGTTTAATTAAAACGTCTATAAAAAGCTTTGTTTTGAAAATTTTTATTAAGTTTATATTCATACGCTTATAAACAATGTTTTCTTGAACCTTTATTATAACTTTATATTTATATGCTTATAAAAAGCTTTCTTTTGAACATTCATTATAAGTTTATATTTCTACGCTTATAACCATAACTAACTAATTTTCTAAGAAATAAGAATCAAAAATTTTGTACGCCCAATCATGATAGACATTTTATTTTTTTATAAACAAACTGTCCAAAATGGAACCGGTTAAAAACTGGTTGCAAAGTAATGCACTGGGCGACAATTGCCACCGCCAATTACATCGCCGTGTAAAACTGGACAGTTGAAAGCATTGTTTGGGTATTGAGCTAGAACTGGTACTGTCGACAAAAGGTCTAGTTCTACGCTAGTTCTAGGCTAGTCAGATTTTCTGCCGGGTATGTGCATACATATGTATGTATGTATACAATTACGCATAAAAACCCTGCTGCTATGTTTTTTTGTACGTAAATGAGTGCAATATTAAAAGCCGCAACTCTTAAAGCGCAGTTACCCACGAACGTAAAAACGGAGAACGTGTCAGCTGACACGATCTATCTAATGAGATGTGCGTGTTAACAAAAACTCACCACCGCATGACCGTGACGTAGACGTTAATTCTCTCTCTTTCTATCAACAGCATACTTGATATCTTTCTACGTACTTCTACGCTACGCTACGTACACGTTCGTGGGTAAACGCGCTCTTAAGGGCCGCTTACATAACACTTTCCTCGCTTTGCTTGACAGTTCGAACTTTGACAACAGAGCGTGAAACGTAGAAGGTATGCTACAATAAACGCTTTGACAGCTTTTGCGTTCTCCCTTTCCTCCATATTTTATATCTGTAAAATAGATAACAATATTATAATATGCATTAATAATCAGGGTTCGTATTTGCACACACATGCTCAGCTCGCGCACATGCCAGGAACACATTCAACCTGCACTCATTGCTCATACACACGTGTGTGCATTAGGGGAAAGCAAACTCTGCTCACAGCAAGGTGTGTGCTGATTGTTATTAAGCGCATGCACATGTGTGTGAGCCGATTTTAGCACAAATTTCTGCTCATTCACATGCACATTATATATTTTTAAAAGAAAATTTTTTTATAAAGCGTTATTTTTTATAAAGCAATTCAATAAAAAGTGATATGTTGTTTGTTTTTATATGACAGAAAGATATTAAAAAATTATTTTAAGACTTCAGTTAGAATTCGAAGTGTATGAGTTTCCTCTACGCAAAGCACACACATGTGCGTGTGCTTTATATAAATAAATATAAAGTACACACCTGTGCCTGTGCTTGTTACCAAACGGCATACACATGTACTGTGAGCAAGTTTTTAATTTTTTATATGCACAGCACACGTGTGTGAGCGTAAAATTTTAGGATGTGCTGCGCCAGTGCGCGCAAATACGAACCCTGTTAATAATAGCAATAATAATTCCTATTTACCTTATTTTTGTCATTAAATGTAAATGCAAGCGCACGAGAAAAGATACATGTAAACAGCTGACCATTATAAAAATATATAAAGGTAAAACCGCTCGCTCCATTCGTCCGCCATTGGTTTTTTTGACGTTTGCTAGCATTTTGAGTTTACTCTCTAGAAATAATTCTAATGTCAAAGAGATTCAAATAAACAAATGAAAATTTATGATTTGAAATGTTTATTTATTCAGAAGTTGAAAAAACTAAAAAACTTGGAAACGATAAATTAGTTGCCGCTTTATCGGCTGCGGAAATTCCGTTCTCCATGCAAGCAAAGCAATATCAAGTTTTTAAGTTCTCGCAATTACCGTATAAATGCAAAAATTGATCGAGGTTTGTGGTGTCATGAAAACGGATTTGCCAAAGCGCCCCTATGTATGCTCGGCTCATTTTTTGCCACACCACTTAGCCCAATGTAAGCACAAGATCGTTCTTTGCAAAAGTGCAGTGCCTTTAAAGTAAATTATCTTTAGATGCATGCCAAAATCTGCGCTTTAACACGCGAGCAGAAGTCCATAAAACACAATTTTCTTCATTTATTTATTTACATACATATGTATGTATGTATGTGCATTCAAATTTTGTTGTTTCGACAGAAATATATTCTTTGGTTTGAATGAAAATAAAAACCAACAAATGAAATGACGGTGAGAGGAATTTTCAAAACGTTAGCAAATGTCAAAATTTCTAAAGCTGCCTCTCAGCGTTTGTACCTTATAAATATTTTTATCATGCAGCTGACTGGAAAAGCGCGCAAAAGTTGAGAGTTGCCGATGAAAACTCGTATAAAATCATGTTTTGAACTTATCTGTCAACTTTCGTTCGGTTATTTAAGGCGGCAAACGACCACTAAACCATAGTCTTATCCGATGAATGTGCCAATACAAATAGTAAATATGGATTGTTGGAGAAAATGTTGGATTAAAATTATTAAATTAAAAATCTCAATTTGGGCGGGACGAAGTTCGCCGGGTCTGCTAGTATTTTTATAAATCATATGTTTTAAGTCATATGATTTTGAGAAAAATACGTGGTAGTAATTTTAAAATCTCAAAATTACATTTCCCAACTGACTCGACGGCACACGGTGTTTTTTTTTAACATTTCATGCAAATTAATCACAGCGCTTTCGACAGAAACAATATTTCGATATGAAACAAAATGGCTTTGAAAGCTAATGTAATTGCCTTTCAAGTAAAAATATTGCCATTGATTCACAACCACTTCTTGACCTTAAAAAATTGGTCAAAAATAGTGTTCTTTGCCCTATTTCCCCCCGGTAGATAATTTTTTTAGAATCGCTAAAAATAATTAAGGTAAAATCTGCCAACTCCAAAAATATTAATTTTTTTCAATGAAAAGTTCCTAACTCCATATGTTTTAGTACAAAGGACCTATAGAACATTCCTCAAGACTTTTGGATTGATTTTGGACTCACACACTGCGATCGTTCTTTTAAGTTTGAC